CGGGTTGTAGCACGTGGCGAATAACCCTGACCAGTTCTTCCCTTTCTTTTCGATCCGTTGACCCTTGTCAACATGCAGTGTTGCTATCATATATGAAGTAATTTTAAAGCAAATTGCTATTACCAAGCAACTATATAGTTACTTTATAGTATTAAATTTGTTAATTTGCTTGTTTCAGTAAAGTATGGCATATGCATCCAATTTCATAATACTTAGATCTAAAAAATTCAAAGTTGTATTTTTGTAAATAATTTATTATCAGAATTATATTTTTTATTTATCATGTATCTTTCTTGCAAGAATTTTTTTTAATATGCGGAAGGTCACTGGGTTTAAGCAATAGGTAGATAATATATAAACAGGAAATGCGTTATTAATTAATATTATATGCTTAAGATAAATAATATTATAAGCTAACTAGAAGCCAACTTATCTAAGTTTGTCTATTCCTTGAAAATTCGGCTTAAAAATATATTGATCGCATTCTATCATTTGTTACATTATAGAACTTCGAATTTAAATTGGATGTTGTAGATAAACTCAATTCGTAGATTCAGAATTAACTTCAGTGAATTTGAATCTTAAAACTACTTAGATGTTATAAATTGTTTACCAGCTCAATTATAAAATTGCCCATCTGATTTGAAAAAAAGTTAACCGGCCAGGTCGAAAAATATCAAGCTTATTTGTACCTTTGATTTTTTGATTGATTAAAGGACATTTATAGATCGTTTGTATATTAATCAACTAATCAGTTTGTTTTCGACTAAGCCAACAATGCCGATTTTTATAACATCTTGATCGATAGTTTAGATCTTAATTACTAACAATAAAAGATAGTAATACGTAGAAATGAGTGAGTAATAAAAGATATATAATAAATAAAAAATATAATTCTGATAATAAATTATTTACAAAAATACTATTTTGAATTTTTTAGATCTAAGTATTATGAAATCGGATGCATATGCCATACTTTGCCGAAACAAGCAAATTAACAAATTTAATACTATAAAGTAACTATAAAGTAACTATATAATTACTTGGTAATAGCAATTTGCTTTAAAATTACTATCATATAAGTTTATACAATAAATAGTAAAAAAGTAATAATATTAAAAATAGTTAGAACTTAATTAAATAAAAATTTTAAATATAAAAAAACTATGAAACTAGTTCTAATAAATTTTGCCGTTTTATTTTAGCATATTCTTTTTGAGCTAAATTTGTTTCATCTAAAATTTGATCAAATAATTCAGAATCTTCTTCAGGTTGAATCTCAATTCTGTCATCATTATAACCCATTTGTCCCCATATATCTCCATTTTTTTCTATAAAATTGTGAATAATTAATGCTGTTTCAATAATTTCTACTCCTTTAGGTGGATCTCTAACTTTCATTGCTCTTAAAAATAAAAATCTTGCCTTTAAACGTCCAAATGCTTGTTCAACTACAACTCTAGTTTTGCTATGTTTAATATTATAATTTATTTGTTGATTTTTTTGAAGTCCATTTGGAGCTTTAAATGGTGTCATGACAAAAGGAAGTAAAGGATATGCTGAATCTCCTAAAAGATATTCTTCTCCTTCAAAAAAAATAGTTGGTTCTTTATAAATATTTGAATTTTGAAATACTTTTGCATCATGTACAGAAGCAGGCCATCCAATATCATAATTAATAAAAAGACCTTTATGATCAACTATTCCTTGAAGATGAATTCCATATTGATGTTTTCTAGAAAAATATACATCTTTATTAATTCTATCAGGTGCTTGTAAAAAAGGTATATGTGAACCATCAATTGCTCCAATAACTAAAGGAAATTCTTGCATTTGTTGAAACCCTTCATGAACTTCTTTTTTATAATCTCCTTGTGGCCATTTAATATATTCTAATCTTAATGATCTTATAGCAGTAGTTACTCTATCTATAAATAAATGTACAGTACCTTCAGCAATACCAAATTGAGTAGAAATAGCCCAAATAGTTGATAAAGATCCTAAACGAAATAATGTAACTGCAAGTTGAATATGAACACCTGTTTGTATATTATTTGCATTAGAATAAAAAACAGAATGATTTTGGATTTGATTTACTAATGCATAAAAAACAGATTTATTCATTCTTAAAGTTCTTCTAAATCTAGTTTCATCCAAATTAAATAATATATTTCTAACCCAATCATCTGATTTTGGATGAATATGATGAGAAATTTTAGGATTTAAAGTTTTAGGATAAAAAGAAAGAGCTTGAACAAGTTCTAAATCATCATCACTTGATTCATTATTTAAATCTATATCCATATTATCATTATTATCATCACTACTAGATTCTGCAATTTCAGCAAAAAATTGATTATGTTGAGAATTGGATGCCATTGAGTTTTTAAGTATAATTTGTTTGTTAAAGAATTATAAATGATTAAAATTTTAAAGGTTATAAAAAATTTATTAATAAGTTTAAAAACCAAAAGTATTTATAAAATTTTTTATTAATATATACATGTATGCACACACGTATATGAGTGCCGCCAAGAAAAAATCTTAAAAGATTTACAGGTTTTTTCTTGCAGCACATGTATAGACGTATATATATATAGTGCAGATAATTTGTTATATACCAAATTAGGTCTATTTATTATTGACAGCAATTGAAAAACGAGAATTCTGTTCATTATCCTTATAGGCTCTACGCTCAACATATAAAACATATTACCAAACTCTAAATTTATTGTAAAAAAAAAATACATTCACCTAAACTTATTAAATATATTTATAACCTTAAACTTGCTATCATGCTAATCGATCTCTCTATTATCAAACTACATTCTCCAGAAACCTCGTTTTAAACCAACTCACTATACTTGCGCAAATGAACAACTCTGGAAGAAATTTTATAGCTACAAAGAGAACGGTTACTCACTAATTTAAAGATAAAGGGATCCTTGTACTATTAACACAGTCGCAGAGCCCCGTGAAACCTTGAATGGTCCTTATACTGTTATTGCAGCTGCGAAGCCTAATTATTACAAAATGCTTACTTACCATCATGACAAAGCTTCTGCACCGCTACTACAGCTGCAGAGCCTACCTACCACAAAGATAAGGTCTTTGTACTGCTACTGCAGCCGCAGAGCCTATCACTGCCATTAACAAATCAAACAAGTGCTGTTGCACTAAGACTACCAATCTGCTACCAATCTGCTGTACGATGGGCGGGAGTGGAGGAACGACGGAACTGGCCTTTTCTACAGGGCGAGTGATAGCAAAGAGGAAGATAAACCTCCTCTACAGCCAGTTAATCTTTAAATATCTTTATGTTAATTGAACAACCTCCCCCCTTTTCGTTCTAATGATATCACACCGTGAATATCTGATTACCCTTACTTCTCATTATAATCGATCTTCAATTCATAGCAGAACCCTCGGATTTTTATAGCAAAAATAGCACTAGTGATATTACGACAACACATATTCAAATGTGGTCAATGTTGGTTTATTTATATCCATAGAGCAAAAATAAGAAAAATTTCACCGAATTTAATTTGTTTTCGCGATATCGCTAGTGCTATTTTTGCTGCTATAAAAATCCGAGGGCTCTGAATTTATTACAAATAGCCATAAAAGGCTAAAAATGATTAAATGCACATGATCCCATAAAGTCATCTGTTATAATGACCGCCTTATCACTTCGTTGATAAGCTTCTCAATAATAATCATTGTAATCGTATAATATTAAAAAAAAAACTCTTTGTTCACAATGCTGCAAGATACGTATATTATTACTAACCTGACAAAGTTTTAAAGAATTTGTAAATCAGATTCGAGGAAGCATGGATCTAATTAGATTGTTTTAAAATAATAACAATCTTTTGTGTACTTGTGCTGCAATAAATAATTCTTAAGATATCTATTTATTTTACGCAGGCTTTGTATGCTAAGATAGCAAAAATCTGCATTAAGTCAAAAAAAAAACAAACTTTAATTTGTTGAAAATTACAAAGAATTTTTTTTTGTTTTATAATATTTACACCGTATGCATCTTTTTTTTTTTGTTATTAATTAAATACCCAGAGTTGCGTCACCATCTTTAATTTGTTGAAAATTTTGATATTGCCTTTGTGTTCATCCTTTTCACTCTAATTCCATTTCTATGATAATATTTGTTTTGGAATGTTTATCAGAGTAACTCGTCTCTGCAGATTTTCGATAAGAAATGAATGCCATATATTCATCTTTTTCAACACCAATTCCATAACAATATTTAATGTTTATATTTCTAACAGCGTCACTATCCCCATGGGTTTTCGATAAGAAATGAATGCCTTATGTCCAATTCCATTCCGATAACATTATCCAACCCGGAATAATCCCATAACATCATCCATCCCCAGAATTTTGATATTGTCTTATGTTTATCCTTTTCAACTCCAATCCCATTTCGCTGACAATATTCAATTTGGAATGTCTATCAACTCTAATTCCATTTTGATGACAATATCTGCAGATGTCCAATTCCATTCTGATAACGATACTTAACATTTATATATTCCAATAGCGTTATCCATCTCTACAAACTCCTGGTGAGAAATAAATGCTTTATGGTCACCCTTTTAACAAATTTTCCATAGCGATTAAACTTGCAAAAACAATTTTTAGTTATAGATTTACTTGATCATTCAAGAAAACATTGGTAATATAATTTGGATTTGGCTTTTCATTCATTAGAAATTGATCCAATGTGTCAAATTTTGTGTTCAGTTTATTTGTTGTAAATATAATAACATCCATAAAATTTAATATTGAACCCGATAACAAATCCTTATTGCACGGGTCTTATGTGACAACCCGTGCTTTTTTCATTTACTTATTGGCACGGGATTGTTACGTCAGACACTGTGCCTTCGGCACGGAATATGAACCGTGTGTAACTGGGTTATTCACTACAACCCATACAATAACTATAAAAAACTCTACCTCCAACTCATCTAACCATTATCTCACAGCTAATCTTACCATCAACCTACCCAACTCATTATTTTCAACATTTAATTATCAACTTACCAAATCTAATATCTAACCGTCAACTTGCATTGTTCATTGTTTTCGATTCATCTTGCAAAATCCTATTTCTCTAACGCATCAATCTTAAGCTAATCTGTTTTCTCCACTGCTAACTCTATTTTAGCAAAATTTAAAATATCTTTACTCCTTACTGTGCCTATGCCATTTCAAAGCAGAATGTTGTTCATGAATTGTCATCTTTGGCAGATTTCAAATACCACTCAAATTTCCTATTTTCATCATTGGCTATGCCAATATCTTCGTTATAGCCTTACGTTTATCCTCTTTGGCATCTATTCCATTCCGATAATGATGTCCTAGGATATAAATTGCAGTAACATTTTAGTATCAACAAAATTTCAAAGACAACGAAAAGAATGCCTTTATTATTTGGCAAAATCAGATTACATACATAGGCCTTTCTACCTTGGCAAATCTTTATAATCATCATGAACCTGAGAGATGGAATACATCGGACCTCAATATTTGTCTGTTACAAATATAAACATAGTAAGAGATCAGATATCTAAATAATCACTGAAATTCCTTCAAACCTAGAGATTTGCTATTAATCATATATATATTGGAAGCGGTTCCAAAGCACCAGATTAATCGATAAGATCCATCCTCATATCCCAAAGCATTATAAATTTAGTGATCGAAGGATTCCATTTTATAGCTACATGATTATAAGCGATATGAGTTTTTCGTAAAGTTCAACTCGGGTGTATAGTGGAATAATTCTTTTCTGAATTGAATGATTAAATTGAGACTTATAAGATAGTTGAGTTTACAAATCATTGAAAAATATATTAGTTAACAGATTATCAAGATTATAGATCGCTAAGAGGGATTTTTCATAAAAAAACACAAATATACTTTATTACTAGTTTGTGACAAAATACAAACTAATATTAATCTAACGAAGATTTATTTGCTCGAGGTTTACAAAATTTCCTTTAGCAACCTATAATTTAATAGTCATCCGTACCACCGTAAGATTAAACCTACTTGCGAAATCGAACAAAACCATCGTATTATATAGAAATCATATGATATGTGATAAAAGGCAAATCACATATATTGTTCTATTTTTAGAGATCTACATATGCCCGTGACCATGATCTAGCCATAATAAGAAACACCCTAAATCGTAGGATCAGCTTTGAATAGGGCCTTGTTATTATAATACCATTCGAATAGTCTAAATAAGACGATTCGAATAACATTAAAATCATAAATGTTCAATTACTTGACTTATAAAGTACAGGTGAATCTTGATATAAAAAAGCTGTCGGGTCCAATCAAAACCTTCTTATATCGAGATTTTCTTATATCAAGAGCTTTTTATTAGAAAATTTTTAATTGGGCTTGCAAAATCTTTCTTATATCGAGAGTTTCTTATATCGAAGATTTCTTATATCGAAGATTTCTTATATCGTGTACTTGTTGTATACGTACATGCATAAAAGTAAATATATATTTGATTTACAGGTTTTCTCTTGCTGTCACTCGAACGTCATGTAAAAAGTCGTGCAGCTTAAATAACCTAGCGAGGTTTTAATGAAAACGGTCAACCTTTTTTGCATCTTCGCTCTTACAACAAGGACATACATCAAATTTTTATATTAAAAAAATATTGGCCAATTAAAATTTTTTAAAAGATTTAAATCGCGTGTAACATCGGATTGATCGTTATTAAATCTGTAAAATTTTTCGACTTGCGAATGTTCGTTATTCGAACTTTAGATTGTAAGAAAATTCTTTTCAATTATTATTTATTAATTAATTATTCAAATTATTCAATTAATTTCATATATACACATAGCCTTTATATTAAGATCAAAACCATTTACCAAGTTTCCCTTACCCTTATGCACCGTCAAAATGAGCGAGACCAAAGTTAATAAAAAGCGTTTAATGTCTTCCAGTGAAGATGATAAATTGGAAATAGATACCAATAATTTAGATTCAAAAAAATTGAAAGGAGACTCTGAAGATATTGTTCATCCTAATGAATCTTCTCAAGTAGAAGGGTCCACTCAGTGGAGATTACGAATTAAGAATGTACCTAAATTTGCGTCGACCAAAATGATTAAAGAATTGTTAGCTAAGCATAGCTGCGGTGATGTTAGAATTAAAAAGTCCCATGAATGGGACTTTTGCTATGCTTTTTTCAAAGTAAAGAATTATTAAAAAAATTATTATTGCATGGCCTATAATATTTTATTTTATTTATCTATTTATTTCGTTATTCAGACGCAAGAGCAACAGATGCAGGCAATTGACAAATTAAAAAATGTTAATTTCAAAAATAGGACGTTAGTCATAAACATCGAGAATATTACTGAGCAAGTTAGTAAATTATTATTATTCAATATGAGTGCGTGAGAGTGAAAACCAGGAATAAAATTTAACCAATCATAAATTTTATTTTCTGATTTTCACTCTCACGCACTCATATAATAAAAAATAATATGAAATGAATCAATATTCTATTATTTTTATTCAGGATCGGCAATCTCTGTTTAATCAAAGGCATGAAAAAAGAAAAAAAAATTTTTTTGATCCTACTGGTGAAATTCAACGTTCGCCAGAAGAATTGCTCGCTGACCAAATAACACCGTTGCACAAGTATGACCGTTTCTTATTGCTATTGATCTACTCACTACCTGTAATTAATAATTCACTTTTTTTTAAGACTTTCCTATGAAGAGCAATTAAAACATAAGGAAGACTTGATAAAAAAGTCTCTTTCTAAATTCCGTAATAAAATTAAGGAGTTGTACAAGGAAAGACCATTATATAAACCAGGATGGGCTATTGAAAAGTAATTATCTATTGATTTATTGATTTTATTTCACACTTGACTTAACTTCATTTTATTATATTAGGTCCGATTCAAATCTTCCTTGCATTTTACAACCAATTATTTCTTCACCTATAATTGAAGGATATCGAAACAAATGCGAGTTTACTATTGGAAGAAATCTCAATGATGAAATTACAGTCGGATTTTTATTAGGATCTTTCAAAGACGGAATTAATACTGTTATAGTAATTAAATTCGTTATTATTATAATCTGACAGTAAATAAATTTATTTAAAAGAATTTAATCCATTCTTTTTTTTGTTAATGGTATTAGGAACCGGATAAATCTCTTAATGTAAGCGATTTAGCAAAAAAGATTGTAAAGGCTATGAAGGTTTGTTAAAAGCTGTAATTTTAATACTGCCAAAATCTTTTATTTTATTGACTATTCTGCTTCATGTTTACGTAGGATTATATTGTTATGTCTCCATATGATATATACGATAATAAGAACAAAAAAGGTATATATGTAGTTTAACTTCAAAAAATTAGGAATTTCTTTTAAGTAATCTTTGTAAATGTGTTAATGCGTATTTATGAAATCAACCAGGTACATGGCGTATGATTACTGTACGATCACAAGTTAGTGATGATGGTAGGATATCATATCTCCTATTGTATTAAAAATCTTTTATATTTCGTGAGATCACCATTGATTTTTTTTTTACTTTATTTAGTAATGATTATTATTCAAATTCACCCGCAAGAATTAACTGAAGAGAAAATAAATCAAGAAAAAGTAGCATTGACGGAATATTTTGAGACCTTTGCACGTGAAGCAAATTTTAATTTGACATCGCTTCTCTTGCAAGTATATGATGGGGTTAATAATGGAATAGCCGATGATAAACCATTTGATTGTATATCTGGTACGCATTTCATCTTTGAAAAGATGATGGATTGTAGGTTTGTGCTTTTATATTCTAATAAAATGATCATGTTTATTTCTTATTATTAACTCGTTTTTATTTCAAAGGTTTCGTATATCTCCTAGAGCGTTTTTTCAAACAAATACGCTTGCTGCTCAAGTTTTGTATGAAAAATGCGGGGAATATATAAAAGATTTATTCGTTTCCGAAAAAGAACCTGTAATTTTGATTGATATGTGCTGTGGAACTGGAACTATTGGAATTGCGTTGTCTAAAAACTTGGGTGATAAAATTGACAAGGTTATCGGAATTGAACTTTGTGAAGAAGCCGTTGAAGATGCAAAATTCAATGCCACATCAAACGGTAAGCTTTAGTGTAATAAATATTTCTATTCTCTTTACTGATTATTAATAATGAATATGTTTATTAGGAATTAATAATTTTGAATACATTCTTGGTCCAGTTGAAAAGAATTTAAGGACTTTGTATTCGTATAAACAAGCAAATGCTGGTACAGTAGTTGCAATTGTAGATCCACCTCGGTAAATTTTCAATTATTATTTATCGAAAATTTTTTTTAAAAGTTAAAAAGATGAACTTATTGATTTATTTTAATAGTGCGGGTGTTCATAAGAATGTAATTAAAGCACTTCGTGAATGTAAAGCAATTGATTATTTCTTGTACGTTTCTTGTGATTGCAATTTGGCCACTCAAAATTTTGTAGAGTAAGTATATTTATTATTATATATAACAATTTAAATTTCAAATTATCACACAACATAATAATTTATAATATTTTCGATTTAGTTTATGCCGACCTACAACCAATAATTTCCCTGGAGTTCCGTTTAAACCGGTCCGAGCAGTTGGTGTAGATTTATTTCCACATGCAAAACAAGTAGAATTATTAATTGAATTTCATAGAGATAAAGATTATCCAACCAAAGATGGTTTAAAAAGTGATTAATACGAACTTAAATATAAGTTAAAAATTAGTTAAAAATTAGTACATAGACTTAATATACATTTTATATTACGAATAAAATAAAATTATTAAAGTATTAAAAGTCAGTGGAAATTTTAAGATTTTATTACTTAAAGAGTTTACTGGAATGAGGCTGGCCTGTATCTAGAGATTCAACCCGGCATAAATTTAATACCCACTCGCGTATAAAAATTTTACCCGGATGCAAGATTGGGTTGTCAAAAATACTCTGGGTTATCCGGTTAACACGTTATCTACTATATATACCAAAAACCTAGTGTTTGAAGCCGATCAAACCACGATTTACCCGGATGATTAGCCGGCTGATAGTTCTTAATCTATATATTAGTATTTCTAACATTGTCTGCTAAGAAATACATGTTTTTTACTAGTACGGTATATCGATATTCGCAATTGGTTTCAACCGATAATATATATTCGGATTTTAAAATCGCAACCATAATCATATCTACACCTTATGCTACGCTAAATCATAATTGATTCTTAGAATTCACTCAGCAAAAGAAATAGAAAATCATTGTTCATTATGTTACATTTATTCATGACTTTAATACATCTATTGATAACAATTTCATTTTTATATAAATTAACCAGGTTAGCCAGTTAGGCATAATTTACTCCGGGTTAGATTTCAAAATCACGGTTTCCGGTTAGCGGAATCTCTATTTGCAGCAGTATTTGGATATGTGCCACTATACTTTTGATTAATACAATTAATTATATTTATTGTGTGTCTCTATACTATTAAGTAATGAACCAAAAAAATTTTATGAAATTATTAACTTCTATAATCTAGATTTAATACCATTGTCCATTATCATTACCATATATACAAAATTTTTTTTTTACTACATTTCTACATTCCTACATTCCTACATTCCTACAACTTTCATATTATTAAATGTAACCTCATTGGGATTTACCCCATATTTTTTCATCGCATGATAAGTATTGAATACTTTATCCTTTTTTCCAACCATAATCCAAGCAGATATTAAACTATTAAAAGAACTAATATCTGGTTTAACATTATTATTTATCATAGTATAAAACATTTTTTCAGCTTTAAAAGGTTCATTTGATCTAGCAAATCCTTCAATTAAAACATTATAGCAATAACAACTAGCCGGAATATTTCTTTTTAACATTTCTTCAAATACTTTAAGAGCAAATATCATATCTCTATGATGAAATACAAAACTTGTCATAAATATAGTAAAAGAATAAATATTTGGTTTTGAATTATAATCAAGGTAATTTGTATTATCAAAGTTTTTTAAAAAATTTTCGAAAAGACTATAAGCTGTTTCAGAATCTTGAACTTTTTCAAGTTTATCATATAATTTTATTGTGTCTTTAACATGTTGTGGTGTTCTTGATATAGGTAAAATTGATAAATTTTTTTGTTGTTGTTGTTGAGAGATATCAAATTTTGAATTTTTTATAGAAGCTATCGCACGATAAGTTGCTCTATGAGGTTTTATACCGGATTTGATCATTTCATTATAAACTTGTTGAATTTTATCAATTCTCCAAACTTGAGCCCAAGCTTTGATTAAACTTGTATAAGTAAATACATTAGGTTTAATGTTATTAGATTTCATAATTTGAAATTGTCTATTTGCCTTTTCAACTTGACCTAATAAAGCATAACCTTCAATTAATATAGTATGAGTTACAACATCGGGTAAAATATTTCTTCTAATCATTTCACCATAAACTTCTTGAGAAAGTGTCATATTTCCATAATTATGAGCAAATATTGTAAGAAAATGATTAAAAACACGACAATCAGGTAAAAGTTGAAAATTTAAATCATCATTCTTATCAATTTGCATTAAAAATTCCTTATATATATCATAAGCTTCTTCAATATCTTTTGTAAGTCGTAATCTTGATTTTAAAAAAATTGTCCATGATTTAATATCAGGTGAAATTCCATTATTATAAAATGAAGGATTTGAAAAATATTGTTCAAAAATATTATGAACCATTTTTGAATCATTTTTTTCAAAATATAATTGCATTAAAATATTAATTACCGTTGAATTAATATTTATTCCATTATTCATCATATATGAATAAATTTTTTGAGCACTTTCTTGATCACCGACTTTTAAATATCCATCAATCATCATTGCAAAAGTATAAACATCTGGTTCTATTCCAAATCTTATAATTTCATTATAAAATTGATTTGCAGCTTTCATATCGAATTTAATTATTGAATTACGTATTAGAGTATTATATAATCTAATATCCGGTTGTATATTAAACGATTTCATGGCTTTAAAAATTTCTTCAGCTTGTTCTATTTGATCTTCTTTTATACATGAATTTATAAGAGATGAAAAAATTTTTGTCGTTGGTTGTTTATTACAAGATATCATCTTATTATAAAATTCTAGAGCTTTCTTTGTATCCTTTTGCTTTCCGAAACCATCAATCAATATTAAATATGTTACAGAATCTGCTTCTATTCCATTTGATAACATTTCTTCATAATATTCTATAGATTTGTTCATATCTTGTTTCATTGAGTATATATGAATTATACAATTGTATGTATAAACATCTTTTTTGATGTCAAATTCGTCAAGACTATTAAATAATTGAATCGCACCATCAAAATTTCCAGCTTTTTTAAGATAGTCTAATGTTAAATTGGCGTGATATGTTTCTGCTGCATTTTTATTAATTATATGATATTGAATTTTAAGTGTAGGAGTGTAGTTGTTTGGCAAAACTATTTTACTTAATGATGAAAAACGATACCCTTGACGAAATGATGAAACCCTATAGAAAGGTGAAGCACCTGGCGAAATGATGAAAAATCCCTTGGAGAAAGACGAAACGTCTGAAACTTTAATGATAGATGAAATCCTAAAAAAGACAAAAGGTTGGGCTATGGTTGGTAAACGAAACCATTTTTCCATGATGTAAATGAAAATAATAAACGCTGAGGCTAAATGTAAGCCAAACCGGGACTTTTTTGTATCAGAATAGATTTTCACTGATCTACATCAATTGACCAATAAAATTCATGGGATTTTTAATGCACGAAGAATTTTTTTTATGAAATACTTTGCTTGTTTATTGGGCCCTTGGGTGATTTTTTTTCATGATGCTTTTAAAATGAAAAGATCATTTTTTTTATTCACATTATATGATTCTCTCTATATTTCTAAAAGCCTACGAAAATAATGGACATGGGCGTTATTTTCGATTACAGCCAGAATTAAGCTTAATTCGGGCCGTAGCTCAAAATAACGTCCGTGCTCACTATTTCGAGATTTACGGGTAATGTGAAGATATGGCTTGTGTGAGCATCTAATAAATTTTATAGCATACCAACTGAACAGCTTAAATTATATTTAATATCTTATCAATAATATTGCAGAACTCAATCACTGGTAAATTATACGGATACTGATAATAACACTTAAATAACCATTTATGGTTATTCACACCCTACTTAGTAAAAACTCACACACATCAACCATTAATAAATGTATATGCAATATTTATAGTACGTAGATTTCAAACAAAATAGTCAATATTTAAAGCTTTTACGTAATTAAGGTAAACATTTTTTGATTGTTAACATGTTGATTTATAATGCATACCGTAAAAGATTAGGGTGTCAAATGCATATCTAATTACAAACATAGTGCAGGTGCATAGTGAAAATCATGGATCGAATTTTTTTATAATTAAAATTTTTAAGATCTGCATGCAATAGTAAAAACCATAGAGAAGTTGCCATCTTTCGCCTTTAATTCCTTCTGTAATATTTATCCTTTTTTAATTTTATAAACACAAAATATTTAATTAAAGGTTTCTTTACACAGTGACAACATCAGAATTTTGATTTTCTAATTAATTAGTCTCTTTTCATAGGTATGTACATACGAAAAATTGTTATAAATTTTAGTCATATGATAGATTTATTTAAGTTGTACAAAGATATGATAACAAAAAAAATGACTTCTATTCGATAATCTTCTCCTCGAACCAATTTTTTAGAAGTAATGAAACCTTAACTGTTTCCTCAAGATCACCAACAGCAAGATTAAGATTAATAGTATCCTTTATAACTGAAAAAGTATGATCACAAGAAATATTTGACGCTTGCAAGGCAAAATGATCTGCTGCAATAGAAAAGACTACTGGAAACTGTTGTGCATGTATTTTCCACCACGAATATGGATCTATTCCTGGCTCATGTGACAGAGAAAGGTAAACTTCTAGCTCATCTATTTCCGGTTCACTTTCCTTTCTATTTTTACTTGAATTTATAAGCATTCGAAAAATTTCTAATGGATCTTTAGGCTTAGTAACTATTTTTGAATTATTTGTTTTATATGATGAATATATATAATATACCTTTTAACAGAATAATAGCTAATTTACGATCATTTTCATAAAGTGATTCTAACTTAGTCGACAGGTCAAGAATAGTTGAAATAATGGAAGACTTTGAAAGATAAGTTCAGTATTCCTGTAATTTATTCTTCATTTCTTTTGCTGCTCTGCTATGTGTATTAATCAAAGTATATTAATTAAGATGCATCGAAAGGCCCAAAATAATTAATCGTGAAGACCTATAGAAGGGTTGCAAAGTACTTGAAAGAACCAAAGCTGCTGTATGAAATGGGTTGAGAAGTGGTATCATTTCTTCTATAATTACCCAATCATCACCTTCTAAATAATCATTTTTTAAGCTTGGACGAGATATAATAAGGCTATTAGTAATAGATCAGATTTGATAGAGCCTCTCAACTATCGAATAGATGGAAGTTCATTTTGTTTCAACATCAATTAAAGGATGATGAAACAGACACTCTAGGATAGCAGAAATTCTTTTCATTTCCTCCAGGGCCAAAGGTGTATTTATTTTATTACAGAAATGCTGAACCTTCTAAATTTGATTAAAATATTTTTTTTGACCAGTTTTAGCAATAAGACTAATACTATATGCAACGCAGTGCACATACTTAAGGTCAGAATTTATGGTTCTTTAAAAAAAATTTAGACAGATTGGGTTACTCAAATTATTTACTATGTTGTTACTTGTAAAGCCAATTATTTGTTTCTTTATTTCCATATTTTTAATGAGCTCAAGAATTTTTTCACCAATGTATTTTTCTGTATAGGTTTCGGGTAATTAAAATGATTAATATGGGAGGGTGCCAGTAGAAACCAAGCAAATTGTTTCTAAGTACATTTTTTTAAAACTTTAAAATAAAATATCTTAATAACTATCAAACCAAACTTGATAAAAATTTATTTATTTTAATTCTATATAGTTATAGAATTAAAATAAAAAAATTTTTATTAAATTTGGTTTAATAGTTGTTGCTTGGTTTCTATTAACACCCCCCAAATACTGAAGAGTGAGATTTATATAGAAATTTTAATATGTAAAAAAATGTGGGAGCGTGACAGAATTATGACGGTATTCACAACCATTTACGAGATCGTTGTTGTTCTTTAATGAATAAAAAAAACGATTTACTGTGTGTATTGTTCCTGACAGGTTTCTAAAAAAGAACTTTTAAGACATTAACTATTATAACGAAGTATATAGCACTTGAGTTGTTTTTTTAGATCATATCAAGGAAAAGTATTAAAATAATTTTTTTTTAATCCTATACTGCCGAACCATCAGGAATTATTTTTGCCTTGCTAATTACTAGGAAAAACAATAAAATTTCTTTATTTACAAGTTCATTTATTAAAATTGATCAGGTAATAATTGAAAAATCCTCGATTAAAATTTTATGTATTGTAAGAATTATAGTATAACGGATCAAATCATGGATCTGCTACACATTTTTTTGTGTGGTAATGGTTTTTTATGGTGATATAACATGTATTTTGTGATGACGTAAGGTAAATTTTATAAATTAGGGGGATTTTGAGAACGATTTGAAATGTTTTTTGTAAACTATTTAACCGGTTCCGAATTAGTAGTTGACCATTCGACAATAATCTTTACCAAATTATAGAACTGGCTTGTAAATTATGACAGTAATTTTGTTATAGGTTAATCTTTGTATTAAATAACTTTAAAATTTTGGATTTCATAAATATATTTATTTTTTTTACGAAAAAATAATTTAAATGATATAATTTATCCTATAATACAAAAAAAATATATTTAAAAGAATAAAAATCAAATAATCGTTAAATATCATTTGGTATTTCTATACCAGCAGATTTACTAAGATCTAGTTTTGATAATCTTTCACTAATTTCCAAAGTGTTAAATGGTTTGCTAGTGTATATATTTTTTAGCTCTTCTTTAA